AGATAGCTCTGCTTTAGCTTCTCTGCGAAACCTCTACCTAAATATCCATATTTTTTTTCCTTTGGATTCTACACAAGGGTGGAGGACTGTGCTATAAAAGCATTTACAGTTGTAAAACTCATCACTCTGCCCTGAAATTTACAGTTAGAATAAGCATGCCCAAGGAATCCAAGGCCCTGCTGTTCAAAGCAGCATGTTTTTTTTCCTTGTCCCAAGCTCAGCAAGATGGAGCTCCTTCAGACACATGCACTTTCTTTCTCAAGATTTTTGTGCAACTGGCTTCCCTACTCTGAAGGCAACCCTGAGGGTTGCCTTTGTGCAAGGTCAGCCCAACTTTTATTTTAATTGATACAGATTTCTGCATTAAACAACAGATTATAGGTCCAATTTCCAAGGCTATGATTTAAAAAAAATGGGTTGGGACATGTGGAAACTGCCCTAAAATCTGAGGTTGTCCCAAGTATCCACACTCAGAATTGATGAGCATATGAACAGTAATCACCATTTAAGTCTTTCCACTGTGTACACAGCACAGCATTCCAGTCAACTCACAACCCACAACCTTTATGCCTAAGGCACCATATATGTTGGTGCTGGTAGGCAATGCTCAGTTTTAAGCAACTCCTCCTCCCCTGGCACAACAGGCATCCACAGTTTCAGAAATGAAAGCAAACCATCCGAAACACCCCGTTTGGTGCCTTGTGTGCCAGCAGAATGCCTGGGGCACAACAGCGCTGCATTTTGCTGTCCGCAACTGCCCTTGCAAGCCAAGCACATTGGGCAAAGCAGCTTTTTGTTCCTTTGTGATAAAGCAGAGACTGAAAAGAGAAAAGCCAAATGTGAGGTGCTGCAGGGGTGTGCATGGTGGCTTTCTGGGCTCTGTGCCACAGAGTGTGCCCCAGTGCATCTGCTGTAGGGCCCACTGGCTGGGCAAGGAGCATGTGCACCTGGAGGAGGCAGGGGAGCCCAAGGGAGGGGAAAAACTGCTGCAGTGGCATGTAAGGATGTGGTAGGTGCAGAGTGTCCTCTTGGTGGCCTTGCACTGCTGCTGGCGATGCTGCTGGCGCGCTTCAAAGCATACCCACCTGCCTGTCCATACCATTTGAGCCTTCCTTGCCTAAGCAGGGGAGGTCTGGTCTCCCCTACCTTTCTGTACCAAGTCACCTGCTACAGGGATACTATTAGCTGCCATTCAAATTGACCAGACAGCCAGTAGACACTCACTGGCCTACCGATGCTGATTCCTCTCCTGGAAAAGGCAACCCCTGTGCTTCCATACTGCTGCCGTGGCACTGACCAAAGCCTTTAGCAGATCACACCTGATCAGTGTTACACTTGTTATGGAGGCCCACTGCCTGTCGAGCTTTGTCAGTGGCAGCTCCTTCCTCCTCTGCTGGTCCTCCGGGGCCTTTGGCTACCATTCTCAGTGGCTGTGCGGGATCCTCAGGCTGCACTTCTGCTCCCCACAGCTGCAGATTTAGGAAAGTCAGTAGACATACCAAGTCAAGGGCTGGGGCAGTGGTCATGCTCCCACCCTCGGCTGAGATTGCTTGGGAAAGCATCCCATAAAGCTCCCTTCCCAGATCTTCCAGGGCTTCTCTGGGTCTGGTGAGTGAATGCATCATAACCACGCCTAGGTGTATGATTCTGTGTAGCACCTGCAGTCCCTCTTTCTCCAGAGACAGGTGCCTGGGTGCTGCAGCAGGGGCAAGCTGTGATGTCCCCAGACCTTCTATGTGGGGATCCAGCTTTGGCTGCACTTCCTTTGGGCAAGCACACCAGACCACTTCCCAAATGGCCATGTCTGATTACTCACTTTTTGACAAAGCGGCTCTGAGTTCATGTCACACCACTGGCAGTGTGGTTTCTTTTCTTGCAGAAAAAGGAAAATATATTGAGCGGCTTGTACTGGAGGAGTATATTACTGAAGATCTCATCCCTGAAGTGGGTTGGGGGTAAGCTGGCTGCCAGGGGAGATGGGCCACCTACACATGCTGCCAGCTCAAAACAGAACCCTTTTTGGTGTGGCCTGGAATCTGAGGGCCCTGAAATACTTGCATATAGGATTCTGCACAGCTCAGATGTACTGGAGACAATTGTCTGCACAGTGTAGGGCTCAGCTCATGTTGAGTAGAGGGGAATGAGTCATGCATTGGAGACTGGCAGCTCTTCATGGAGGAGTATCTGACTCTCTGTGGGTGGCTCAGGGGAATCTCACTAAACAGGCATTATGTCCCTCTGACCTAGCAGGAGAGTAGCCAGCTTGTTATAGAAAAGCTTGGTGTATGGCTCGACCCCACAGCGCTTGTGGTGAATTGGGATTTTGTTCAACTTCTTCAGCCTGTATAGCTTCCCCTGACACTGCCCGGTGGTGTGAGGATAGCCCCTTAGTAACATCTGCAGGGAAAAACAGGGGAGCAGATACTTGTGACTGGTGCCTCTCGGCTTTTCTAGGGAACTACGAATGTATGTAGTTCATCCTTGCTCCAGAAATGTGCCCGAATTCTCATGTGACATGGTTGGCACATCCCACTGAATCACTCACTTTGGAAAGGGGAACTTTTGAAACTCTGCATCTGCCAAACTACACAGAAATCACACACCAGAAGTCATCTGACAAGGTAGCCTCTAGTCCAGCCTTCCCCAGTTCTGCTGCAGTCTAACGCATCTGGAGGGCAACTTCCATAGCATTGCACCCTTATTATCTCTGAATGTTTTCTGTCTTGGAGAGGGAGCGGTACTTGTGGGACCTTCTGCCTTAGTTGCCAAGTAACTTGACTGCCCTTGGGTACGATACACCTTGCTTGAACTGTGGTGGTGAGCTGGTGGTAGAGGAAGAACTTCATCTTCTGTTCTGCCTGAGGCAGAAAGCAGTCTTTGGCCAACCCAGTCTGCTATGTTTAGTGGCCTACAATACAGGCAGGAATATCCCACAGACACTTATCCCTCTGGAATTTGCCATTTCAACTCATGGTTAAAGCCTGACTATAGACATCATGGTAGCTTTTGTTTCTGGCAACAACAACCATTAAATTGAGACAAAAATCTCTTTGCACAATCCTTTGCATAGTAAGGCTGGAAAAGTCCTACAGCTCCCAGGGTACTGGCTGGGAAATTCTGAGAGTTGCATGATCTTTACTCCCTTAACCGCATAACTTGTCTTCAGTGACAGGTTCTGCACTGAAACATCTGCTGCTTCTTCTGCTTCTCTTTCTTCTCTGTCTTCATATCCATCTTCTTCTGATTACCGCTACTGTTATTGGAGCATTGCCTTTGATTCAAGGTGGTTTATAACTCAGTAGCAGAGGCTTTCCAAGCAAAAGATTTCAGGTTCAAGTTCTGTCATTTCAAGGTAGGGCCAGGAGAGCTGACAATAATGAGCCACTGGGGGTAGAGCAGCTTCTTATATATTCAGCCAACTAAAATCACAACTCATCTTTAGTTCAGGATTAGGGTGGGGAAAAGCCTTCTAGAGAGGAGCAAATTTAAGCTCTGAAGGTTTTCCATTCTAACAAAAGAACTTAGTCCCCTAAGTAAAAGCTTCCCCTACCTTCAGCAGTTTATAATTTTTTCTGACAGTTTTATGCTGATGTTGTAAGCTGCTTTGGACATTTTTAATGGAAAAGCAGTATATCAATAGTTTAAAAACAAACTGACTGGAAATGAATAAAAGGATTAAAGGGTTCCATTTGTGTAAGAACAACCTTCACTCTTCTCTTGTCTGGGTGATGTAGATTCGATGGCCAGGGGCAGCTAGCACTGAGTTGTGAGAAAGCAACTTGAATGGTGACCTATTCCCAAAAAGACTGTTTCCCAAAAAGTGACTGAAATGCGTCTCACTCACTCACTCTGGGAAGAGAAGAACCAGTTTATTTATCTTGATATGGAGCTCTTTGACCCCTCCGAACAGGGCATCAATTAGGAAGGTAGTAATATACGTTACAGTGATATAAGCCTAATCTTTTTGAAAAATCTGGCAGGCAGGCAGGCAGACAGCATGGCTCTGTTTACTGAAGCAAAACCTTTCCACTGCATAACACCTTATTCGGGACGGAGGACGCTAAACTTCATACCTGGAAGCTCGTCTTCAGCCTGGCCGGCTGTCTTTTTTCCTCTCCTTTGGAAGCCTGAGAGAGCCTCGTCCTCTTCTGCTTCGGCCACATTTGTCACATTGGTCGATACGAATTAAAATTGCATGCACGTGCATCCTGGTTGCCCTAGGTGGCCCCTCTTGCATGCCGGCACACATCCCTTCTGTACGGGGGAAAGAGGACCGTGCCGTGCACGTGTTTGGTTTGTGGCCATACGTTTCGCCCTATACTCCCAGGCAGGTCCTCTGCTTTGCAATGTAGAAGCCGGAGGAGAGAGAACCGCCTGCACATTCCAAGGAGCCGCCTGCACGTTCAACGACAGGAGCTGCTGCTCTTGATTGCAACTGAGACCCGAGTTGCCGTGCATTCTCTTTGTGTAATGGGAGGGATGGCTGTCCCTGCCATTAGGACGCTCAGCATTCCCTGTAATTCAGGGTTTTGTAGAGCTTTTTTTCCTTTTTGGGAGAAAGAAAGAGAATTTGCTCTCTCTGTAAATAAGAGGGCACCGGACGCCTTTTGACATTTTCTCGAGGGTGCGTGTGTGTGTATGTGAGTGTAGTGTGGGAGTGTTCTAGAGAAGAAACTGCTCTTAATACTGGATGTGGGCTGCATCCACGTGCAGACTCCATCCCTCCTCCTATTTCCGCCACCCCAATATGATGATGGCTGCTTTCAGGGTTTGAGAGAGAGAGAGAAAAAAACAAAAAACTAGGAAACAACCCTGCTGTTTCTCCCATTCGAGCAGCAGGAGATCGGAAAGCGCATGCGCCCTAAGCCCACTGCCGCGTAGCCCCCGTCTTCTGCGCCCTCCCCTGCCTTTCCCTGAGCCCATGACGTCAGGCAGGGAGGAGGCGGCGCGAGCTCCATCAGGCGGCCGAGGCTACTGGTGCGCCCGGCAGGGGTTGATTTTCCTCTGTCCGGCGGCGCGGCGGCAGCGGCAGCAGCAGCGGCAAGCGGCAGGAGAACGAAGAACACCCCCTCGTAGATAAAGCGCAACTGGGGTGCAGACGGCACCAGCCTGTGCATCCTCCCCTCTGCACCACTTAGGAGGGGCTTGGAAGGAAAAAGGAGCGCTACTGCTTCTCCGTCTCGCTCTGGATCCAGAAGGACCCCTCTTTCTTTTTCTTTCCCCCGCTTCCCTCCATGCATCATTCTTGGGAAGCTTTGATGAGCGTTGCAGTTACCTTGGCTTGCATTTAATCTTCGTGCGCAAGGGGTAAGGTGGGTTGCTGCCTCCGATTGCGGCCCCCCGTCTCTTATTTTTCCTGCATGCAACCTTCCTTTCTTGCTAAGGAGGGCTGAACTCCCTCCTCTCTCCCCTCCCCAGCCTTTGCCGCTGCTGGGTTCTCTCATCTCCTGGGCTGGGAGGGAGAGAGGAGGAGGAGGGAGACGGGCTTTTCCTTGATTCTCTCGCCCCCCACTTCAGTGGATGGTGGAAGATCTGAAGACCCTTGGAAGGAGAGAGTGAAGAAGGAGAAGAGGTGAAGGAGGAGACTTTAAAAGAAAAAGCAGCGGTAGCTGCTGTGTGGACTGTCTTGATACCTGAATTTTATTTTTGCACAAGCATGCTGGCCCACAGGATAAAAGTGATGGGGCCCTTGCTGCTCTTATTAGGATTTTTGCACACACTAGTAGGGATCGCTCCTGTTTTTGCCCTTGAAGGTGAGTTGAAAACCTTTTCCCCCTTCCTCTTTCACATACCTTCTTTGGTTCTACCTAATCATTAGAATTTCCGAATGGAATAAATACCAAACAGTCTTATTTATTATGTTGTCTCTCTGCAGTTAGCTTCATTCTCCACTATAAACAATGAGCCTTGGTTTTTTTCCCCCTCTTTGCTGCAAAACGGCTCCCCCACCCCCAAACGGAGAGAAGGGGGACTGTTGCGCTTAGGAATTCAACATATGCTTTGCAGTTTGGAAACAAAGCTGCATTAAAAAAAACGGAGGGGAATATGCATATTTTGCATTCACTTGCTTGCGTCCCCCCCCCCCGGCCTATGCGAAGAAGACGTGGGGGTTATCCGTATTCTTCACAGGAGAGAATGTTTGTGTGTGTGAAGATGTGTGGTGATGCATGTGGGGATGGTCAGGGGTGGGCGAGGTTTTAAAATCAGCATCTGTTTCCCAGAGAGATCTTCCTTAATGAAATCCGTTCTCTTCAACGTTGAATGAAGATAGCAGTGGAATGTTTTCCCCCGCCAGGGTAACGCAACAGAAGTAGCAGAGTAATCTTATGCATTTCTAGTAAGTCTCCTTGAGTTCGATGGGACTTACTCCTAGGTGAGTATTTACAGGGTCTCAGTCTGGCGAAGAGATGAGGATCATCCCGTTTTCTACAAATGCACAACCGTTAGCTGTCCCCCCCCCTTTTTTTTTTTGGTTGCATCGCCCGGGTTTTACTGGTGCATTCACGTTTTGTATGACCCTGCTCATACTGAACTCACCTTTCTTTCTCTTTACGGTTTCAATCAATAAATAATTTGCCTTGGCATTTCACTCTTAATGTAAGTTCCCGGCTTTCTTCAAGATTTGGCCTCTGTCTTACTGACATATATGGCCTACGTTTAAGAGATCACGTCTTGCCTGCCGGAAAGCTATATGGGATTTGAAACGCTTCCACAAAATATACTGAATGGAGGGGTGTATTGGGGAGGAAAATGGCAAAGCAGCCAAGTATTAATGTATAATTGACAGTCTCAGAGATGTAGCTGAATGTTTGATGTAGTTGGCTAAGCTGGAGACAGCTAGGCATGGGGGAGAGAGTTTAAATGCAGTGGAATCTGGGCTGTGCACTGTGCCTTTGGTGGGTGGCGTAGCATGTTTGGGAGATAGCATGGTAGAATTTAGAGGGGAGGAAGCATTACTTTTGGGGATGGGTGTGGAAGGTGTGGCAGCAGTGAAGTGGTGAGATGCCTTTTAATTGCTCACCTTCACAAAAAACAAAACAAAACATCCTAAGCCTGGATCATCAGTAGGGCTTAGGAATGTGCTTATTTACTCTGCCACACAGGAAACTTCGGTATGAAGGACCCAAGAGCAGAAAAACAGTGCGCCTGTCATGCATTAAGCTTGAGTGGTCATTACAAACGTGTTTCTTCTACCTTCTTCTACAAAGTGATTATAGAGAAGGAATTCACCAGTCTTGTCCCCCCCCCACCCCATTGGGTCATTGCATGTAAAAAGTTCTGGAATTGTCACTGCTTGAAAGACTTGGCATAATATCAGTTATTTAAAAAAACAGCCGAAGCTTTTCTTCATAACTAAACCTTTTCAGGCTCTAATTTTTTGCTTGAGAAGAGTTCCATTTTGGCCTTGGATTGTTGCTTGTAAAGGCTTTCTTCATGATGTCTTCTGAATTTTTACATGTAACCTTTTCAACTACTTTCAGGCAAAGTTTGTGGTTCACACTTCCTTGGGGTTATTCATAGTTATTCATAATGACTGCAGGTCATTCATCTCCATGGGTTTCTTTGATGCATGGTCAGTGGGATGCTGCTTTGCTAATGTGTGTATGAGGTGATATAGCTTAATAAAGCAAAACTTCCTGTAGCCAGGCACAAAACTTGCCCATTATGGAGGGCAAACCAAAATTGAAATGGATAGATAGTGGCTATAGTGGCAAGTCATTGCAGAATACAAATATCACAGTTGGCACAAGAAATGGGAGCTGGGGATGGCTGGGCAAAAAGATTAGCTGGCATGGAGAATGTAAAACGCACCCGGGGGGTAAAGCTGAGTTAAAGAATTCTGGCTAATATACAGTTGATGGCCTTTCCCAACCTGCATGGGCATTGACTGGGAATGATGAAAGTTACAATCCAGCAGATTGGGAGGGTACCAAGTTGGGTGAGGAAGTACTAGAATCCGCTTCACAAGATACTGGCAATGAACCTTATGATGAAAGTTCAGTGCAAGCTTTGTACTTCCAGCATCTGCCACTGGGAGACTCCACCCTGTTTTGGTGTGGCTTATACAGGAAAAGCACTTGCTGGATGGTGCCTAGTATTATATACACAGTGGGAAGGCATTCATTCATAGAGGGAAATAAATGGCATGTCCTTTAACTGGTTTGAGAATCTATATTTTGTAGTCTCTACTTAGTTACTTATTTTAATGTGGCATTAAAATATAGAGATGCCTTGTAATCTATTGGATTGGGGCGCTTCAACTCTGCTACTGCCTAACCTTGTAAGGAGCAGCTGTCCAGGGTATCACGCCGAGGTTTTCCACAGTTCTGTTATCTGAGACTCACAGGGGCTGAACCTGGGATTTTATTTATGCAAAGCATGTATTCTAGCACCAAGGTTCTGCCTTCCTGCGTGTGTGTTACCTTCCCTGAAGTGGGGCTGGTATTTTCCCTAGGCTTGTGGAGCCTTGAAAACAAGTAGTTAACGATGTCCAATCTTGCTTAGTTAACAGATAAGTATTTAGAATAGCCTTGTAGCCTATTCCTACTGCTTGTTCTTCCCACATAAAAATGCTTAAGGTGGATCCACCAGCTGGTCAAAAGTGCTGGGTCAAAAGATTGTGCTGATGTTTCTTGGGCATCGTGCTGGTGATGCCAGTGTCCTTTGTAAAAGTGTCTAAGGGTGCACTCCTGTGCATGTTTAGACAGAAAAAGCCCTACAACTCCCAACAATCTCAAGCTCGCTCTGAGGAATGATGGAATTTATGGGACCTTCTTCTGCCTAAGCATGCATTGGATAGCACCTTAAACTATGCAGCATCTTTTCAACCATATACTTAGAAACATTGTTAAGAATTCAGTTACCAGAATCTCTGAAGCTGTGTGATGTACAGTATGTGTAGAACTTGCAAGGCAGACAGCCCTCACTTTTATCAGCCCTAAGACTTACCTCAACCCCTTTGACTTGCTCATTTCAGTGGTGTTAATTTCTAAGTGCTCTTGGGCTAAAATCCTAAGGGCATCTCACATGCTTGTCTGAAGATGCAATGCATGAGATGTGTCCTTGTTGCCGTCCCAATTGTGAGTTGTCCTAGTTAGCGGGAGAGCATGTGGTTTGCACGCAGAAGTTTCTGGATTCAATGGGTGACATCTGTTGTCGAGATGTGAGAGGCCCCTTTGCTTGAGATTCTGGCGAGCCATTGCTAGAAAAATGGATCAGTGGTTCGACTTGGTTCTGTACAAAAACATTTATGCATCAAGGACCTGTGGTTGGCTGCAAGGCCCAATTGAACAATCCATGGCAATGTGGAGTTTGCCACAATATAATATATTATAATTAATATAATCTACCGTATTCTAGGGTAGTTTTCCTCAGCGGTAAATCCCCACATATAGGTTTGTTCTGTAATTAAATAGCAAGCCACAGCATTTGTATGTCGATTTATTCATTGAGCTATTGGCCTGTAAGCCCTTTGTTTATATTCCTGAGTCTTTATTGCTACAGGGTTGAGAATGGAATTGCCCTTGACTGGAAGCCAAGAGAGAACAGTCTTCTGTGACTACTCTGGCCTTCAGAGGTGCTTTATCTTTTTTGCCTCCCCAGCTGAAGCACTGTAAACTAGTCTGACTGCTGGTTCTAGTGGCTGCCGCCCTAAATCTTACATAACATGGGTGGGTTGGTTTGTGTGTGCGGTGGATTATATATGATTGCTGGGCAATTTTAGAATGCTGCATGTGAGTACTTGCAAATTTTTTGCAGCCATGACTCTGCATTGTACAAGAGGACAGGATTGACTTGTTGCATGCAAGCTTCCCAAGCTGGATGTCTTACCCTTTGACCGGTTCTACAGTGAGTCCCCAGAGGATATGTAATCTTTTACAGGCAGCCTGGAAGCTACTGTGGTGCAGTGGTTAAGAGTGTGGGACTGGGGAACCAGGAGATCTGAATTTTAGTCCTCTCTCAGCCAAGTTTACTGGGCAGCTCTGGACCAGTCACAGACTCTTACAGGGCTGTTGTAAGGATGAAAATGGAGTGGACGAGAGCAATGCAAGCTGCCTTGAGTTCCTCACAAGAGGGAGTAAGATGTGACATATAAATATAGTGCAATAAAAAAAGTCCAAGTTACATAGGCCTTCCTTTCTGGGCTTGAGCATAGTCTTTGGTCACAAGGATTGGTGTGTGCCTTAGATATGCTTCTTTGCCACCCCAATGGTCTGGTTTTTGGAAATAGCGGCCGGGGGGCGGGGCGGGATAAATTTTGTTCTTGAGCTGGACTGCTTTAGATGGAAGGAAGAAGGAATTACTTTGCTTAATCCCCCACCCCCAACCGCCATTTCAATATTTCACGTTCCACATAACAAGAGGATGGGTTGTAGTCTAGCTTTTTAACTTTTGGGGTGTGTATGTGTGTGTGTGTTCTCGTTCTCTCTCTCTCTCTCTCTCTCTCTCTCTCTCTCTCTCTCTCTCTCTCTCTCTCTCTCTCTCTGGAGTGTTCAGATTTGCAACTTCTACGATAGCCACCTGCAGTGATACAGTCCAAGAACAGATTTATCGCCTCCTCTGCAGTTTATGTAGATTACTTTGTCAGATGGAGGCAAATAGTCACTTTTTCTATACCACATTCTGTCTCGTGATTCAGAATATACATGCTCAATAAGAATTTATTAAATTTATATCACATCCTTGTTGTATTTGGGCAGCATGCATGGTTCTCCCCGCTCTCAGTTCTACAGCAGGCCTAAGAGGTAGGTGA